TATGGACAAGAGGCAGGGTACACCCTGGACAGGTCGCCAGTCCATCGCAGGGCTATATAGTCAGTCATTTAAAAAAATGTAAAACTATTTTTAAGAAGTGGATTTCCTCAAAATCGAAAATTTTGGCACTATACCGTGTTGTGTAGCAAGTTGCTAACAAGCTTTGTTAAAAATTCTAGTTGCACAGATGATTCAAAAGTTATCATATAGAATTTTATATGCATGGAACTGACACTTGTGGTTTTGGTAAGTATGATGATTTTTCACTGAGAATTAATTTTAATGTGACATTTAATATAAAAATATGACATGATTCAAATAAAGTAAAAACACAGAAAGGCAGACTCAATGACAACTTTTCTACCTGAAAAGTTTTAATCTAAAAAAAAAAATATTTATCAAAAAGCATATTCCATTTGATTGATTTTTGTTCATGAGCATTTCTCTCAACAATAGGGAAGCATTTTTAATATGAGCATAGTTTAATAGGGTAATGACAGAAATAAGTCCATGTTAAAAAAGTATGAAAATATAATATTGTTGCCCTTAAAACTAAATAATTTTTTTTTTTTACATTTTATCTGCAAAGACCTGTTATGGAGTTGAAATAGCTTATGGAGGAAAGCTTTATGATCAAATGAAATATAAGTTATTTGATCACAACGCCAAAGTTGTTTTCATCCTAAAGAAAACTACAGTAGTTGTCGGAGACAGTTGTAGTATACTGCTAATGGTCTGTTTTGCTGTCTTTAGCACTTTTGTGCTTCTCCAAGTAGTAAAATAAAAATTGAAGGAAGAAGAACTACAGCCCAACCATTTTCTTCAGCTTGTCTTAAAGAAAACAACGAGAGAATTTAAACTTTGATGCAGGGAGATTTACAGCAGACATATCAGAAGTGTTTTATGACTATATAAAATATTCAGTTAGTCTGACCCAAGCTGTAACCTTTTCAAATGATATGGATAGCACTTAAAAGCCAGGTCTGTGTCAGGAAATCAGCAAAACTCTGTAATACCATAATTTACTGATAGAAAAAATGCTCAGATACCCAATTTATCATGTCAGAAACTTTGTGTCATTTTGTAGTTAAAAGATCCATTTGTTTCCAATTGTTAACTGCTTGGCTGGTGTTTTCAGATGTTGCTTTAGAATTTCTACATGATGTTACTTCCTCATGATGTCATCTGCATTATCAAGTGCATTAGGGCCTCATAAAGCAGTAGTAGTCAGTGTAGTCTTCTCTTCTAGGGGTGACTCACTGCAACTTTTAATTACTGATAAAATACTGATATTTCAGCTTGAGATATTGACTGATACAATATCAACACAAATTATACATGTTTGTAGCATAGAATGTTAGCAAAGGTTTGATCAAGTGATACTTGCTCTAACAGACAACAATAGTCTGCATCAACAGTGATAAAAACAACTTACCAGAGGGTTATATAAGTTCACAAACTTAAAAAATATATTCTGCAATTGATTAAAATCAATTTTCCATTACGCACATTGGAGAAAAAGCACAAACAGTGCTGCAGGCATATATGTCTTTGTTTGGACGACTGCTTCTTTGTGAAACCATCTTGCATATAGTCTTTCCACATTCAGAGGCCAGTGGCAATCAAATGTTATGTGGTCTCAGCATTATCTGAGCCTTAGCAGACAGTTTGGAGTCAGCTCAATCAATCACTATCCATCCGTCCAGTGCAGAAAAAAGATCACGTTCACTTTATTTGTGAAGCTCCCATGGGGGCTGGTGCAGGGGGGGTGTTTAACAACTTAGCAAAAAAAAAAAACTCCTTGGTTACTATGTCTTGAGTTTGAGCCAAAGTTATGATTCTTTGCCAACCAAAACCTATGTGGACTGTACATATTTTGTATATTTATGGATTTAAATGGGACCTCTCATTGTTCTCATGTTTGTCATAGGGATAATTAATTCTTTAAGTTAATTGATGATTTACTTTTGATTTTATCTTCTTCTAAACTCTTCATTCTCATTTCTAACCCTAACCGTCAACTATTTTTTATCCAGAAATATCCAAATATATAGAATCTAACTGTGCATATTAAGCTGAAAATTGTCCATGGTGTGCCACTGTGTGCGTATAAGATCTGAAAATGTACCCAGAGAGCCTGCATATCTCCTGCTTGTTTTGAAATTTAAAAGATCAATTTGACCTTTTTCGTATTTGACTTCCTGTCTGGCTAATCTGCTGCCAAGAATTTTACCTCTTTTGCTCACACCTTTTGTGGTATGATAGATAGCCCTCTTTTGTCATCCATCAAAAATAGATTTGATCCCTGTCTCTGATGATAAATGATGGATGATAAAGTAGGGCTCTGTGTTATACCGCAGTGTCACAGAGTCTGTAGGAATTGCACTATTGACCATAATTCTATTTTGAAAGGGTAGCTAAACACAAGGCTGATTGAGTGGGTAGCACTGCTGTCTTGCAGCAAGAAGGTTCCGTGTTCGAGTCCTGGCCCAGAGTCATGTTCTCCCTGTGCATGTGTGGGTTCTCTTTGGGTACCCTGGCTTCCTCCCACAGTCCAAAAACATGACTGTTAGGTTAATTGGCTTTTCTAGATTCTCCTTAGGTGTAAGTGTGTATGTCCTGTTTGTCTCTGTGTTGCCCTGCGATGGACTGGCGACCTGTCCAGGGTGTACTCCGCCTCTCGCCCACTGACTGCTGGAGATAGGCAGCAGCACCAATCACGAGCCCAATTGGGACAAGCGTGTCAGATAATGAATGGATGGAAATGTATAAAGTGGAAGCTGAAGATAAAAATTTGCGAGAGTGTGCTTTTGTTTATAAGGTTTATCCATGGGGAAAATGCTCAATGGTGGGTGTGAAGAACCAAAGACCCCCTCACCCCCCACCCAGAGCACAGAGGCAGGCATCAGGGGAACCAAAACCCTAGATGCCCAAAGAGACCCTTAAAGTAAAGGTGCCCAAGAGCGGCCAACACAGGAATTCCCCCCGCACCCCCAAATAGTTGTCATCAATTAACATGACTGTGCAAGTTCTCTGCTAGACGTACGTGAGTGGGGGGAGTGGAGGAGGGAGGTTGTGGAATCTGGGGGTCAGTCTCTCTGCTTCTTATGTCTCAAACAGTCTCAAGACTGAATCACCGACAGTTGTTCAGACTGCACCTGGTGGCCAAACCCTTCAAAGGTTTTTTGTGAAACGGATCTTGCACATACTCCAAAATAACTCAAATGAACAAGAAAAGTATAAAAGAAGCACTGAGCTAAGAGTATTTTCTAAAGAAAAAAAAAACATTTGCTAAATCAATAACAGCAATTTTAGTTTTAAAGTCCAGGAAAGGTGCAAATACAGAAGCCCTAGAACAGGCATTTGCATAGTTATCATTAATTCATGAAACAGAGAAAAAAACATTTGAATATACAGTATTTTTGTTGGAACCTATTTAAAGAAATATGAAAATAAAATTATTTGAATAGAAAATGTCACTATTTATATTACTGCTCAGCAGTTATGTTTTTCCCAAACACTGTAAAACAAACACACATGCATACTGAAATTGTGCACTTTAACAGGATAGAATATAATCCCTTGATAACAACCAGATCGAGAAATAATGTGTTCTCTTTCCTCGTTTGACTTTCAAAATTCCAGGGTATTGTACTTTCAATTTGGAAAGGAAGTGCAGCTGATGCTTCAAGTTACCCTAAATATGAAACATTTTAATCCTGCAACAGAATGACAGATTTGTAAGGATAAATTGTAAGCTTTAGCCATTAGGATTAGAGAAAAGAAAGGGAGGACACATTTTATAGTAGGTTGTTAGAAATGTATTTTATTTATGAGAATCTTTCAACTAAGATTAGGCTTTCTGAGCTCTGTGCTCAGTCTTTTGTTAACATTTGCCTCAGCTCTTATGTGTGCCTTATAGTGAAATTTGAAAAGTCTTGCAAAGTTCCTGAAAGGCAGACCAACACAAATTTTAATTATAAATTGTAAGGAAAATCTAATTTATCTAAAACAAGTGTGGGAAACACTGCTAAATCTAAGTGTATATAACTGAAGGGGGAGTCTTTTTCTAGTTGTTCAATCCGAAAAAGAGACTCCCGCATACATTTATTTAAAAAAAAATGAATGCCATAAGTTTAAAGCTGGTAACTAATCAATGTTTCTGATTAAAATAGAAGAGCAATTAAAGATATTTATTAAAACTGAAATGCCTAGCAACTAAAATCCAAATATTTTGTGTATTTCCAAAATAATGAGCTTTTGTAGCATGCTCTACCTGCTGTTTGCTGCAGGCAGCAGTCTTCTCTCTGTGGTTCGTAGTAGGCTATATCGCAACTTTTCTGTGTTGTTCTATTGATTTTATCCTATGCAGTGTTTGAATTTTCAAAGAAACAGATTTTTCTTATCTTTTTATTAGCTGTAAGCCATAATGATTGTTAACAACCAAAACAAAGTTTATTACACATTGTTTTATGGGTGTGTTTTGTATATTTTGGACGGAATTAATAAAACTCATATTTAATAATATCCCTTAGGGCTGCAACTAACGATTAATTTGCCAATCGATTAATCTGACGATTATTTTTTTTATTAATTGATTAATAATTGGATATCCAAAGGTTCTTTAAAGAAGACTTTTTGTGAAATTACAAAACGTGAAACTAAAACTTTTAAACTTGAGAAGTTCTGGATAGAATATATTGACAGACGGACACTTTTTTAATCTTAAATGCAAAATGTTTACATATTTTTTTTTTTACAATTTTGGTATAATTACTGGGTCACTCTTTCAGATAAAGGCATGTTTTAGAGTCTCTGTATCAAATTAGTTGACGATTATTTCAATAATTATTTCAGGCCTAATATCCAATATAACTTAGATCTATTTTGGTTGTTTCTGTAATTTAGAACAAATATGTTGGTTTCCATTTTATTTGGTTACAATCTTGTCACTTTCTTCTCCCTATTTATGTTTGACCCACCCTTTGGTTTGTTTACAGGTATTCTTTCCAAGATGAAGAAGACATGTTTATGGTAGTAGACCTGCTACTGGGGGGAGACTTACGATATCACCTCCAGCAGAACGTGCACTTTGCTGAGAGCACAGTGAAGCTGTATGTCTGTGAGTTGGCCCTGGCTTTGGGATACCTCCGCAGTAAGCACATCATACACAGGTAAGATGGTTTTGATATATTTTTCTTTCTCCTTTAAAATGTTTTTTTTCATTGGCAATCTGATTGGATGCATTTTTTGGCACGACTTCTCAGTTTATAGACGATTCTGCATTAAGCTCAAATCTTCTTACTTTATTTTGGTCTGGACACCATTATTATTTTTAAATCCACCAGTTCAGCAGATGCTGATAGGTTTATACACTCTTTAATTTGTAAGATGCACGTTAAGTGCTTTTTTGACAGAAATATTTGCTGCGATGGCAAAGTCACTGACTCACAGGGCCAAGTAAAGCCCGTTCCTGCCAAATGTTATTATCTTAAGCTGTTGGAGTGTTTCAATAACATATAGTACATTAAATTATATAACATTAAAAAGTTTTTTAAAAATGTTAAAAACCTTAACTTAATACTTTGAGCCTTTTGATGTTTTTCTATCTTTTAAACCTCAGTAAAGTAAACTGCCTGATAGAAAGGAAGTCAACACTAAAGCCAAGTACTTAGTAATTTAATCATCCTGCTTGTTTAAATCTTCAAAAGGTACCAGACTTGCAAGTACAAGTGTCCTTTAAAGCATGCAGTGTTCATTAAGCAAATGACAACAACATGCCTCTTATGTGGAAATATTAAAAACTTGCATCACTTTCCAAAAGTCACACATTTTAAATGGCCGCCCCTTTATCCATTATAGTTTACTTCCATGTTTTTTTTTTTTTTTTTATAAGCAGCTTATTGGAACAATTAGACTGAAAGGGTTGATAAATAAGTGCTGATATTTGGTTTAACATGAGGAGGATAGTGAATGATGAGCTCATGACTTCTCTTATACGTATTTAGATTTGCCCTTTTGTCCTGATCGGATATTTTGGATTATTAAACCATTGCCCATATTAAATACACTCACAAATTCCACTATTTAATGCAAGCAGTCATTTTATTCAGTGATTATTTCCAACCATCAGACACATAACTAGGTCTGGACCTGTGTTGTGTTGAAGCCATTATTAAAGCTTGTACCAAAAGTTGTTATGTTATGTTATGGATGTTTCTAGAATTAAGTTTAGGATCAAAGTTGGTATTTTCATTAGAGGATAAAACCTTTAATAGAAACAGTTATTTTTCAACAACAAACTGAGGAATAAACTGAAATAGCCTAATAATAGTAGCCCATCAGTCACTACACACATAATTTTAGCTATAATATTGATAGTTTAGATTCATGGTGATGAAATGTGGTGCCTTGCGCTGATCTCGAAGAACTACTAACAAAAACATTCTTGTTTTATTCCATAAGCCCACATACTGTAAATTTGTATTAAGAACATTTGGAGAATCTTATTAAGCCCCTGCTGTGAGACTGCAATCAAATTAAAGTCAGTTTAAAAAGAAAATCAGTTTTAAATCACACCAGAGAAACAAACTTCAGCTTGAGTTTAAGCTAACGCTTAAATGATAGATATACTTAGATATTTGTTCCAGGTCTTTATAGTTATTCCAACAATATTTTGTCTCTCAGAATATGAAAAAAGCTGTGCAGAAAAAAATACACTTACAGCCCCCAGATAAACCCATATATACCTTATAGGTAAAAAGATCTGAAAATAAAATACTGTTCAAAATAGTGAGCAGTACATCATGTTATATCAATATCATTCAGACAGACAGTCTCAACTTTGAAGGTTTCCACATCAGAAAATTATTACATTAAGTCTAGACCAAAGCATAGAAACAGAAATGTTGTTAACCTAGTATCTAATAGGTTGAAGATCTGCCTGTTTTTTTTAGTAGCCATATGGCAAAGCATTCATACATTTATTCTGTCTCCTAAAGGTTTTCACATAGTAGTTGGTGTCAAATCAATAATTTTCAGGTTGATAAAACTGTTACAAACGCCAACAGAATACCAGAAAAAAAAAAGAAACAATAGCCGCATAGAAAAGCAAAAGTAGTTAATAAACAGTTATCACACCTGGTGAATGAAAGTTTATCATTTCAAAGCCTATTTATAACATTAGGATTGATTTATTTTGGGACTTGATGAAGCATTTGGTTTGTGTAAGCACCATTTTATGAAGCTTGTACATTCATAAATGATATATGTTATGTATTCATTTTTTGTGTTCTTGTTTTTTATGAATTAGTTAAAAACAAATACATTAGTTTTCAGTATTGAAGATTTTTAAGAGTTTTGTCTAGAAAATGTTGTAGTATGCACTTGAGCTATAGAGGGCGCAGTTCTGTAACATGCCCACAAAGAAGAAATTGTACTTGTCTTGAAAAAATAATAATAAATGATAAACGGTAGCTTTACCGTTTGCTGCAACGGACATTTTATCGCACATTCTAAAACAGGCTCTGTGTCAGTAGGTTCAATAAAGGGTTTAAATGGAAAATGAAGAAAAAAGCTAAAGATTAGCCTCTACAGTTTGACACATGGCCTATCGAAACTTTTAAGTTCAGACAAGCTCTATTTTTAAATATATCATTTCACATGAATTTACTAATACTCAAAACCCACCTCCCTGCATGTCGCTATGCCTTTGACTTCCCCAGTTTAAAGCTTTTTTTCAGAATACTGGCTTAAAATATTCAGAAAAATAGCTTGTCATGAATGTGATCACTGATTCCCTGCTCTTGCTTTATACTCAACTTAATTGCCATTTTTTTTAAATTAGACTAATTACCAGAATGACCTTTGGTAAACTTTAATACATTGAGTGAAGATATGAACCAAAAAGAAAAGTTTTGACCACATAATATTTCATTTTCATGTCAGTGAGGAAGGAATGATTCAGTGTGATGAATATCTGTTGTCCTAGAACATGGACAGCAGAAAAAATAAAGGTTTTAAAAATGTATGCCTTATGTGTCTGCATACAGAGTCACTCCTCCACTATGTTGAATGAGCAGAGGTAATCATAGAAATAAAAGCTCTCTCAGATCATGACTAATAGGAAAAATCACTGGAGCAGGAAACGCTAATTTATCAACACCCACTCATAACAAATTACACCACTTAGGGTTAAGCAGAATGCTTGCTCCGGTCTGTGCTCTTAAACCTCTATAGAAGAGTAGAGAAAGGGAAATAAATAGGACAGATTAATAATTTGGTTATTCATGCACTCATCTGTGGAATATGAATATTTCAATTGTGTTTTCTATTTTGGTCCAGGAGAGGACAGACTTTCCACTTGATGTGCAGGTGCTGGATGTTGTTTGTTTAGATAACATCAACAACATCTTTTCCATCTGCATTCATTAGCTTCAGATTGGAAGAGCGGACGAAAGTAATTCACAGCTCATCTCTATGTAAATTGAATAAATAAGTTCCAGATAGAGTTCAGGATGACAAGTGAATGCTGAATATCATTACAATGTGTTTTTTTTTTGTATTATCATTATTATTTTGCATGCAACATGGGGATGTTAATGCACTTTGATTGGTGGACTTGACTTGGCAACATAGTGAGTTTCTTACCAAGTTTTGATTGTAGCAATATGTGATAAGAAGCAATACTTCTCCTAGATGTATGAATTTTGATGGTCTATATTTTATTACTCAGTCACTTTGTTGCATATCTGCTTTGCGATTAATGACTCTGGAATAATATATCTTACATCGGATAATGTTTAATCATCATCTTTGTATGTATTTAACATAATAGCTGACAGTCCAATATAAAAAAACAAGCAAACAATAAAATCAGATGTAGAAAAGGGTTAGAAAACACCCTCAACATAAATCCTTTCCAACAGGGTCTTAAAAAGAAGTTTCCTAAAGGCAGCATTTATGAATGACATTAAATGTAATGTATGTAATGTAAATTGTCTATAATTGGGTATGAAAAGTAAAACTTTTTTTTCATACCCTCTCTCCCTCTAATTGCTCTTAAATTATCTAGTAGAGTAACCTTCTTGTTAAACTTGTTTTTTGTCCAATATTCACGCACACACACAAAAAACTAACCTGACTCCGCCAGATGGATTTGCTCCGCATATCCATCTGGAAACCTTCCGTTGAAGTAATTTTGGAAAGTGGCGAAAATACTGGTTAGCTGATTGTCCAATGTTGGTGATAGACGGGCCAAATAAACCAATCAGATCAACGAAGCATATGACGTACTAACTGAGCGACGACGAAGAGGAGCCAAAAGATAGATCAAACTCTTGCCGAAACCAGTCGGGAGAAGAGCAAAAACATCTTTTCCTCTGAGAAAAGCCTCCAGAGCAGTGTTTTGCTCTTCTTTCAGTGAAGAAATACTCTGTAATTCCGATAAAACTTGCTCGATATCCACGCTAACGCTAGTTTCATCGGCTGAAGCCGCCATGTTCTTTAGAATGAACTGCGCGCTTCTCGTTGCGTCACACCTCAACCCGCCTCAAAGCCAAAGCTGATTGGACGTTCGTTTGGTGAACTGCTCCAAATTTTCTTTAACGGAGAGTAGCCAGACTGATCTGTGAGTGAAACCTTGAAAGCTCGCGAGATCAGGATGGTCTTGTGAGGCTAACAAAAAACACCTTTTTTATGTTTTTAGAATTGCCCTTTCTGTTTTGAAAAATACATTTTAAAGTTCTATTTAAAATTAAGGCTTGGTTATGAATGCTTTTTTTTTTTAATCCTGTTTATTCTTTCACATTAAAGTACAAATCCCAGGTTTTAGATCATAAATAATTTGTTGCTACTGCTGTTGCTTAACCCTTTAACTTACCTGACAAATGCTTAAGCCTTCGACATGTTTTGCCCTTTTCTTTCCTATCTTGTATAACGAAGTGTTTGAATGATCTAAACCATTTAAGTTAGGTTATGCCTGCCTTTATCATTGGTAGTGTCATTTTTCCTCTCCACCAATGAACCGGTTGCTATAGGTTCTGCAAATAGCCCCGCCCTAACCTAAGCATATCCTTGTTTTATGTTTGAACTACACCAGGCCTAAGCCATGTTCTCTCTAAGATTCATGCTTGCTCAATTGCGCACTTCTCATGCATTTTTTGCACACAAGAAA